TTAATTTTAGATTTTTCACTTTTTGGATTCCCAAATTTTCAAATTTTCGATTTACAATTTTGTGATTCGCAATTTTTTGAGTTTTCGATCTAAAATTCAAATTTTCAAATTTTTTCAAAATCTTTACATACACGCTTGTTGATAGTCGACCTACCTATAATATAATTAATATATAATATAATTTCCAGAACTCCTGAGCTTCAATCTTTTACTTAAGTAGTACTATTTCTACCTGTGTTAGTTTTTTCTTTCGGTCCTAGATTTTTTCGGAATTTTCCAGATTTACTTTAGCCAAGTTCAATTCGCTTTAATTCAAAATTCTTTCATCATTTCCTTTTTTGATTTTTCATCACCATAAATGAAAATATTCTTGGTCCTTCTCTTTGTCAAAAGTTCCACATTTATTACGGGGAAAGGTCTACATTGAGGTGACACTTTTGGGAAATTTATTTCGGGGGCATCTTCATGCTGATGTGCCAAAACGGCGAAAGGATACATATGTCAATGAAAAAGAAAGTGTGAACACGTGAAAAATAGCTCCACTGCACCAGCACCGATGTAGTATCAAATGCTGTGTATCTATCTATCTATCTGTCTGTCTGTCTGTCTGTCTGTCTGTCTGCCGTTTGTCCGGATTTTTATTAGACGGATAATCTCCGAAACTAGTGGACCGATTGTTGTCAAATTTTATATGTGTGTCAGGAATATCATCTAGATAGTAAAACGTCAATTTTTCCCCAGATATACAGATTTTTGAAAAAAAAAAATTGTTAACAACTGTTTTATTTATTCCCATTCGTATTATATATTTTCGTTCCTATTATTCTTTTCCATAATAAGACTACTCGTACATTTCCCAATTGCTACGTTAATAGCTAATTAAATATTCCACCTGGGAGATCGACGCAAACAAGTCTGACGCAGGACATCCAAATTATAAATTTATAGAATCTATAAATTCTATAAATTCTATATCTGTAACGCCTAGCACGTTTCGCAATGTTAATTTTACAGAGAAACACGTCACACTAATATGTCAAATGGGATTTGGATACCTAATGTCATGAATTCTTTCAAATAAATTGACAGATCAAGTTACTTTGTGCCCATCACTATTTAAAATTTTAGGATAATCTGCAGAGTAGTTTTGGGCATTAAAATATGTACAACAGACAGACGGAAAATAAGTATAAACCTCATTTTTTATTCTATAATCTATAAAACGGCAAGAAAACGTGAAATGAATTATTCGTCAAGGACAATAACTTTTATTTGCGTCGGAAACTAAAAATTCATAATCGATAGATTAATTCTTAATTAATTAGGAAAAAATCAATCCTCGCAGACGCATCTCGATTTTGTATTCGTGATTTTCAATTTTCTATGATCTAAATTTTTGTAACGACAACTGTATTTATATGTATGTCGAACCAGTGCGTTTTCGAGACGTCGTCGCACCCCCGTTAAAGATTAAACAGCATTACGGGCATCAAGTTTCAGCACCGGTGTCCATTTCGACCACACGTAAAATATTGCAACCCTCCTGTTTTATTCCGCTTCCCCGCAATAAAACTTGAAACCTGAGAAATCTGCACCCTCTTGAAAATTCTCTCGCCGGTCGGCGTCCGCGGCCGAGGTTTGCGCCCATTTCCCCTTCAAATAATCCATAAAGGCTCATTTAAAATGTATGCGATGGAAGAATCAATCATCGGTGACCTTCGCTCCGCGCTCCCGGTTAGGGGCATTTTTCTATTTTCCAATGATAAGTTCCTTGCGCGTTTTCATTCCTCGCGAGACACAGGACCCCAGCCTTTAACTCTAAATCCAATATCAGTTAAAATAGTTTTCATGTAAGCATTTTTTTGATATCGAGCCCGGATCTTAGGGGCTGCACCCCAGCGCAACGCTCCTCGTCAAATAAAAACCTATTTATACGTGCAGTACACGTGTTTATCGCTGCGATAAAATTTTCGGCCCGATTACGGAACGGCTTGAACGTCGTTGCGCCGAGAAAGTTTTAACCAATTCCCAGATCTAGTTATTAATTCTCGATCCTGCGTCACGTCGATCCCACATCACATCAGAGGCTCCTTGGGGAAGCCGGAGCCAATCTAAAACGCATTCCGCTAAGATTGGAACTATTGTTTTTTTGATGGGCCGCTGCAACGCGCACTTGGGGATTTACTTCGCTGAAATGACGGGTTATGGGGTAAATCGTCTTTTGATCTCGTTCGGCTGATGGATACGAAAATGCAGCGTTCATTCATAAAGCAATTAATATATTTATGTATTTATAACCTTCTTCTTGTTCCCTTTCATCTCCTCTAAGCCTTTTTCCTTACATTTCTTCGGTTTCCTCTACCTGTTCTATCTACTGCTTCGCTTGGTTTATTATTATTATTATTATTATTTGAGCCATCTAAAACGCATCCCGCTAAGATCCTGTTGTCTTTTTGCACCGCGCACTTGTGATTTACTCCGCAGCAATAACAGGTTATGGGCCCGGATGGGGTAAATCGTCTTTTGATTTCGCTCGGGTGATTGATACGAAAATGCAGATGGAATTAGCAGCGTGCATTTATAAAACAATTAATCTTTTGTGGTGCCGTGCGTGAATGTACTGCTCTATAATTACAGTATCGTTGCTGGGCTAGTCACGAGCAAATAAAACAAACTGAAATAGTGCCCACTTAATAAATATTCCAGGGGCGGGGCTATTTCCACGCGGCGCGGTGGGTCGTATGCGGAGGTACAGGAGTAATTAAACTGTCAAAAGTGGAAAAGACCATCAGTTAAACGAAGATTAAGATCGAGTTAACTGATTGTCGTTAGGCGATCACATACTCAGAAGAGAAAGTTGGAAAAATTGGAGAATCGCGACGGTAGATCGAGGTAAAAGCGACGGGTTTTTATTGTGTTTCTCTTCTACAATGTTTCGTTGTTCGCGTTTGCTCATCTAAGTCTGGTTATCACGTTTTCCGTTGTTTGTATACTGGTCCGGCAAGTAATAAATTATGCAAATGCTTTTTAGGACACGGACTTGGACAAACTGTTACACGTTTCATAAACAAGTTGCCTTAGTCAGGGTAACTTTATCTGTGTTCCTTTATTTTGCATTCCAACTACATTTCTCCTTTTCTGTAATAGAAATTAATGCCCATTTTTGCATTAAACATTCTTACTTTTTGCTTTGGTAATAAATTATCTATAACGTTTGAGATATTTAAGCTATTGTATCGAAACGATGCCAAGATGATACAAATTTACACTTTCAACTTCAGCGCATTCGAATTGGAAGCAAGTTAAATCAATTTTTTGCAGAAACATAGCTCAGATGTTTTTTGTTTTAGATGGCCGTAATTTATGCATTAGTGAAAGTTGGGTAATAGTTCATGCTTTAACGAAAGTTTTTAAATTTTTGTAAAAAAATCTACGACATCGTGCCAAATTCATGCCAGACATTTTTATTTTACTTAAAACTTTTAAGCACTGAAATAAATCACTCTTGAGAATATCTTTGCCATTTATCTAAAGTTTTCACGAATTAAGTGTATCGATGGAATTTGTAATTTTTTTTGTTAACTTCATATACGCCAAATATAGAAACTGTAATTCAATTGTCAATTTCCTTTAATTTCCTATTCGGCCGTGTTTTTCTCACATATTTTTATAAATCTGTATAAACTGCCAAACACCGAATTCGGAGTCACATCCTGAATCGGTCGTATGTCGCTATGACGTCACACCGCGCTCGATTTTAAGTCATTGTACATACTTTGAAACCATCCTGTTCTTAGATGTTTTTGAATTTATATGTACGTACTTTTTATTAACAGTAAATTAGGTTAACCCAGTTTTGCCAGCAGCATACACGAGAGAAAAGCTAACACTCACAGGTCTATGTACACTCTTACGAACACATTACATTTACTTGTGTAATAGCTGCCTCCACCATGGTCATTATATTTTAGCACTAATAAGAAGCTCGAAACTGCAAAAATAAAACAAGAACTATTCAAGACTATTCCAGTCTGGTTTTGTTTCTCGGTATAACGGCCTCTGAAATATATTTACATAAAAAACAACGGAATTATTTGTAACTATCTACGGGCATTGTTAGCAACGATAAAAAATAAAATCTTTCATAGTGACGGCCGACTGTACGCCCTCAGAAAAATATTTTTAGAGGCTCGTAAAGATCGTAAAATAAAATTTTGGTAACGACGCCTGGGTTACAGCTTTCATAGCGTATCCGTTCGCATCCCGGAAGCTCATTCCGAAATCAAATTTCCAACAGAAATTCCATGTTTGAAGTAATTACCCTATTTTATGTTGAAAAGCAATACCGACGGTTGACAATGGTCGTAAACGTAACATTTCCGGCCACAATCCAGCAAATTGGTTTCACAAGTTATTTATCTAGTTTAATAATACTGATAATGCCTACTAAATAATTAAACCGCTTGATTAACGTTGTAATAACGCCGAATCCCTCGGGGTTCAAGAAAGTATCTTTTAAATTATTCCTAATCCAATTACTCCATAACAGGGGCATGCATCTGTCCACCTAGACGAACTCCCACGGACCCGAATTTTGAGCCGAATTCCGCTAAACGACACGAAAAACTCATACCCCGAGTTCATTAAGCGCGATCTAGTACCTCAACTTTATCATAAAACAGGGGCCATCCCTTATTCTAAGTTATAAATAGGTGTATGTATGTGGGGGCAAAAGTGACACTGCATCACATAACTCATAATCAAGGGGCGCATATAATCCCGAGGGCAGAGGAGCAGGAACCAGTTTCCACGTCGGTAAGGTAGTAAACTGGCGTGTTCATCATGCATTATGATGCAGGATATGACCTGTACGCGGGGTAGTTTCTTGCTAGTGCGTAAGATGTAATAATCTTTGGTAATCTCAGCCGCTGGCTTATGGCAGGCATATTGCACGTAATAACTGACAAATGGCTGCGTAAAATCTAAAGAGAAAGTCTTACCTCGCAACTGGATTGGTTGATGTTGCTCAGGTTCAGCCGGTAGACGCGGTCCCTGCAAAAAAAAATAATGGTAATTTTTGGAAACAAACTACACCAAGTAATGGAAGTAAAGCATCCACCAAACTTGTTCTTCGTTGGTATGTTATAGTCGACATTTGGAGAGACGCACGAGGTCCAGTTGCCGAAAAAAAGTCACGTCAACTTTTTTTCGACAGCGGCTTGTTCTGTTATTTAAAAGCGGCAAAATAATTCGGTGATGAGTCTTGCATGCCCGGAATTGCGACACAGAGTTGCTGCTGGAATAATAATTACTGTTTTCATTTGGGCGAACAATAGTGGTTTCATTGAGAGAAGTATTGCAAGTATTTCAAGTGATTTTATCTTTTTTCCAACGCGGTTGTTTCAGTAATAGGATCCGTACTTTGTTTAGCACGGAATCGATCAGATGGAGCCTGATGAAATTACAAAATAGAAATAAATAAAAATGATCAATGTACTTTTGTGTTGGGATGATTAAATTTTAAAAGTTCCAATATAGTGGATTTCCCTTTGCGAAACGTCAGTTCCGTACATATTCGAATCAGTTAATATCCGGACTTATTCGAGTCGTTGTGGAACGATTGAACCTATTGCGAGCGTTCCCGAAATGTGTCACTTCCATCATTGAGGTTAATAGTTCTCTAGGTAAAGAAGGTTAAATAAAAAACCAAACAGATCTCGAGTGCGCTGACGTCTCGGTTTTCTCGACATTAAAATCCTGCCTTTGCTTTTACCGCGCGACTTTGTTTCTCCTGACATGTTATTTTTGTCAAAAACATCCACAAACAAGGTAACACAAGCTCCTGCCAATATTGGAAAGCAGCATCAATAATTCAGTGTCTCGGAAATCCGTCGTAAGCAGTAGGTGTAATTGTTTTTAGGTCGACACAAAAGAGAGGAAGCATTGTGCTTTGGAATATTAAGACTCGAGGACTCGATTGAGAAAAAAGCAATTAAAAATAATTGACGCCAGTAAATAATAAGTACAATAGATTTCAAAGGCACGCATTTCTTCGCAATTAATAATAGCTCCATTTCGGAGCTGCCGATGCGTTAAGACAAAAGGTCGAATGCAAATTGAAACAATGTGTAATTTTGTTGAAAATTCAATCGGCACAAAAGCATCGGAAAAGTGCGTCACAATTATCTCCTCTCGACGGAGGAGTGATTTCTGTTTTGAAGATAATGCCGACTCTAAATACCATTTCACGGTAATATTACAATTGGCTTTTGTTGGCTCGGCTGGCTTGGCGTGATCTTCTACCTTAAAGTCGTCTAATTCGGTTTGTAAAGAAGGCGATCTTTTTCCCACGACTTCGCCAAACGTGTTTTCGAGAATGTCAACACATGGTCTGCATTTACTACTACTTATTTGGACCCTGTGAATTTTTTGATTTGTGATCTAGTTTTGACGAGGAAATCAGGAAGTCGCACATTAAAAAACTTGAAAATGTCCGACAGGTTATGGATGATAACCTGAAGAAAGCTTTCGCAGCAAGTTGACTTGTCATATTCAACTTAACTGAAAATTGTTAAAAAGGACCTGATGTTGTTTCCCTACAAAATGCAAGTCTTTCAAGAACTTAAACCAAATGACAAATTCCAAGGAGATGCCGTTCGCAGACATACGGACAATATGAAAAATATTCCAAGCAAATAACCAAGGAAAAGAGTGTATTATTATCAGTGTACATGCTTAACTTCGATTGTTTAGGTTTATACATCGAAAGAATGTCACGTAGAAATTTGTTTAATTTGAATGAGTTGCTCCTCGAAACAAGACTAAAATTATTAATTAAACCACAATCGAATGGTATGAATATTATAACCCTTATTTTATCCCTATTATATAAAGACGTGTTGGAGAAAATGGGGTGACTCGTTTTTAATTTGACCAGTAAAAGATTTGTGATGACGTCATCAACATGGATGATACTAGTCACAGCACAAAAGAAAAGTACGGATATCGTATTACCAATGCAAAAAAAAAGGAAAGGGCCAGTTCGGCATCGAACCCTCCACGGTAGGTCGTACGAATACGCCATAAGTCGTCTACTATCCGATATAATCACTTCGCCACGGAGACTCTTACTCTCTTGGTAATGTAACGTTATTATACCTTGCAGACGTTTTTGCGAAAATTTGAGCGTTTAGCGAAAATTTGAGCGTTTAGCGAAAAAACTGAAAGCGGATTCGCACACTACAAGTACAGGACCATATTTTTGTATAACATTCAAAACATTTTATAACATAGTTCATTAAAATGACGTCATCAAATTGTTGGTGGGGATGATTAACAAAATTTTGATTAGCATTTAACCATCTACATGATATTTCTAATATACATACAAAATTTGACAACAATATCGATCCAACAGTTTCGGAGGTTACGTGTCTAATAAAAATGAATACAGACACCAGACAGACAGACGGAAACGAGATACCACTTTTTTCATTATTAGGGGTTATGAAACGTCCAGAAAATGTAAAAGTGGCCATTCGTCTGATGAATTTGATTACTATACTTCCTTAGCTTACTCTCGGTAAATAAAAACACCATTATGAAGACGACTACTTGGGCCCATTATCTTCGAGGGGTCAATTACAGTTGTGAGATATCAGACCATACTGTAAGAATTTATTGACTAGCTTGATCCTGAAAAATTGGAGAATGGATTTTTCAGCATGACGACGCAACAGCTCACACAAGATTGAACTTTTTGAGGGAATTTATGACGGGCGTTTAATTAGTTACCAAACCATATCTAGCTACCCCGGTCACCTGATTTGACAGTAGGATTATACTCAATATAATATACGCCATACAATGCACACCTTCGCCACTTCTTCTTAGTACTTGGTAAAATAATACTGATTTTTGTGAGAAAATAAAGGGCGAGTGGGCAGGGCTAGTACTTGCTAACAAATCAGGCGCGGATCCAGGGGGGGGGGGGGCAATGACACACGACCGAGGTACATTATTTTGACCAATTTCAAAATTTTGAAATCGAATTTCATTTTGTAAATACAGTACAACCTCTATAATCCGAATTCACGATTATCTGAACATCCAGTAATCCGAACAGAGGCTATTTGAAGTCGATGCTTCTTTAATCCGAACAAAAACTCCGCAATCCGAACTGAACTTGGAAACACGCACCTACTTGCAAAAATGACGCAAGATCTTTCTGCATATGTTGTACGGAATATTTTGAATTTTTTTAAAATTACGATTTCAATGCACTGAATTAATTAACTAAGTCTGGAAAAAAGGTTGAAGTCATCGAAGAAATGAGGCCCGAAATCTACAAGAAAAAGTATTTAGTTAAAATTCGAAAATCGTCGAAAATGGGTCGAAATTTGCATGAAGAAAATTTCATTTTTGAAAAACTTTCCTAAAAATTCTGAAAAAATTCAGGGATATAGGTATGTATATCCCGACGTACTGATTCCCAAACTATAGCATGTTAATGGTAACCGAGCAATATTTTCGGAAAATTCGGTGTGATTTTCGAATTTTTTGAAATTTTTAAAAATTGCGATATTTCAACACGACGAATCTGGAAAAATGGTTTAAGTTATCGAAGAAATGAAGCCAGAAGTGACTTCTGAGGCCCAAAATCTACAAGAAAATGTATTTAGTTAAATTTCGAAAATCGTTGAGAATGGGTCGAAATTTGCATAATGGAGGTAATATATAACGGAAAATTTCATTTTTGAAAAATTCATCTAAAAATTCTGAAAAAATTCAGGGTATACATCCCGACGTGTTGATTCCAAAAAGATAGCGTGTTTATGGTCACGGAGTAATATTTTTTTAGAATGTATCTTTTATCCATTGTTGCTTAAGAATTCTTTAATTTTGTTTAATAAAATTAAGGTTTATTTCTTGAAGTTTTTTTTCAACTGTGTATGAAGTTGTCATTTAATTCCCTTTCAGATTTTTGGGAAAATTGCTGATTCGAACAAATCGTTAATCCGCTTTTTTTCCGATTAATTCGGATTATCGAGGTTCTACTGTACACTATACGTGTAACGAAAACAACCAAGTGTCACCCATGTTATGTGAAAAAGAGTATACTAGCTAAAATTTTATAAATTTTTTTGTTTAGAACGAATTTCTGCGAGATAAAATCGCACAAAAATTGCCCTCCCCCCCCCCTAAACGAAATCCTGTATCCGCGCTTGTAAGACATAAGACTGATTTTGCAAACGACGTACCCTCTAAGAAAATAAATAGCGGGTGGGTGGGGCTAGTACCTGCTAAGATAAGTCTGATTTTGGCAGATGACATACCCTCTAAGAAAATAAATGAGATTTATCGTAGCAAGTTCTAGCCCCACCCACCCACCCTCTATTTTCTTAGAAAGTATGTCATTTGCTGAAATCAATCTTTTCTTAGCAAGTGCTAGCCCCGCCCACCCACCCTCTCTTTTCTTAGAGGGTATGGCATCTGCCAAAATCAATTTAATCTTGGCAAATTAATGGCAGCAAATGACAGACCTTCTAAGAAAATATATGGTGGGTGGGCGGCTAGTACTTGGTATGAAAAAATCGTTTCTGCGAACCTTCTTCATCCAAGATCCAAAATTTTGCCATTTTTATAATGTTGCCTTTACTCAGAGCATTTGAACTCGTGTTTTCTTTTTTCCGGTTGTCGTTGTAACTCTTTCCTTTTGGCATTTCTTGTGTTTCCTGCGTCCTTGAAAATAATGCCGGAAAAGGATAAAAAATGATGCCATATTCAGAAAAATATTTTTCTTGCAACATTTTCGTGCTCTAAGAAAATAGAGGGCGGGTGAGCGGTTAGTAGACTTGCTAAGATTGATTTTGGCAAATAACATATATACCTCCTAAAAAAACAGGGCGGGTGGGCGGGGCTAGCACTTGGTAAGAAAAGACTGATTTTGGCAAATGACATACTCTCTAACAAAATAGAGGGTGGGTGGGCGGGGTTAGTACTTGGTAAGATAAGACTGATTTTGGCAAATGACATGCTCTTCGTAGATCTTG